AGTCTTCCAAGTAAACACTAAGCTAGTTAAAGCCATTCTATTACTTCATAGCTACTTTAATACATCATTTTCTTCAAGCTAAATCAAATCTTGGATACCAGAATTCTTACATATGCATTCATTTTTAAATACAACGCCATCTGTGGAGGCAAACATCAAAGGTTGTTAGTATAGTAAATATTTGAAAAGATAGCGCTGTCCTTAATTTCCCATTTCATTATAGGCGAATATAATTTTTATGTAAAATATATAAATATATTTAGTATAAAAGTCACTCAACTGTTGTTTGTTTACGCAATCTGATATTATACATATAACACGCTGTCTTTATGAAATACATCTAACAGATCATATAAAACTATTAAAATGTCGTAGATTTTCTTTACCTAAATCACAACACGTGTTAATATAATTTCCAGTACACAGTGAACATATATCTCTGTTAATTTTTCGCACCTAAATACACACACAACAATAGAATCAACACAGGCACACTGCTAACACATTACCGTTGCTAAAAGGCTACGTAGTTACACTAAAATACATTACTAGAAGAAACAACTATTTTATTTAATAAAAGAGCATTGAAAGAAACATTTCATTCGTCTGTTCGTCACGTTGTGTAGGTGGTAAAAAAGATAATGGTCAACATAACGAAAAGGAAAGAAGATAATTTAAGAATTGACAAAATTGCTTATTCAAATATTTTTCCCTTACTTAAAGCTCTAAGCGAGTCGACTCTGCAATCAATGTACAAAAATTGATTATAGGCGTTTCAATTGTTTTTTCTCCTAAGAATCTATAAATCTAAATTAATTTTCTATAAGCAAGCAGATTTAGGGAACTTACCATAAAGCTTTTTTTTCTCATTTATTTGATTTCGTCATTTATATAAAAATCTAGAAAATGTGTAAATTCACAACCTATTATTTGTCTATTATTATTTTCGTAATAATTATAACCGATAGCAAGTTTTATTCTACATTTTTTTTTACTAACAGCTGTTTATTGATGTTATGTTGTAGTTACTAGGCCATAATATAAATAATACATATTATGTTTATACATACATGTTTGTAGGCACCTCTTTATGATTGAACCATTATAATGAATATAATGGACCCATTATTTATGAAATTGAATTGACCATGATCAAATCGACAACAACATAAATATTTGTTGTGAGTTTTTACACCAAGTGGATACTTTTTGTTTCTGTCAAAAGAACGTGTAGTGTAAAATTATAGTAAAATCTGTTCAGAGGTTTAAAGTGTAAAGCACGTTGGAAGAAAATATGATAGCATATTTTTTAGGATGTGCGCGCACAACGACAGCCTAAAAACGACATGATGAAGTTGTTTGCTAAGTGATCGATTCTACTTCAATTTATTACCATGGCAACTTTTTGACATCTACCTATAATTCCAAGTTATTTAATTAAACCGTTACTAAAAGCATTCAATGTATTTTTCATAAACAAAGAATGGGCACAGAGTATAAAATTTTTAGTTATTTTTCTTTTGTTACGTTAAAGAAGTATAACTTCTTATGTGCGTTCTCTTTGTAGTTATTTTTATTGTTATGTTTATTCCAAAAATAATTTAAAATGTATTTTAGGTTACGTTTTAGTCTGATGTTAAGTGCTATGCAATTGAAGGCACTAGGACCATTTATAAATATGAAAATTGTAAATATATACTTTGTTTCAGTTTGTGATCGTTTATTTTGATTTGCTTTGAGGGTTATAAGTTTGTATATTTTAGAGTGTTATTAGTAAATTTAAATAAAAAGAATCTTCATATATATCCACTTGGTATTAATAACACACAGTTACAGTTATTACTCTAATTTCAGTTTAATCTCTACGCGATTTTGTATTAGGAAGGAGCTAGACTTCATTTCATTTCAATACAGGCATTTGTTATGATTTTTTGTGTAAGAACCGCCTATTCTTCGCAATTTATAAAATTTCGTTAATCTTTAATTAATAATATAGTATCATATTGAGCCTTCTACAAATATGAGCGTATTTAAATATAATTATAAGATTACAGGCGTTCCTGCTAAGGCATAAGCTAATAAAGGCAACCTCTGGACATCTAAGTTTTTGGACAACTATACATTGATCTTACAACGAATACTCTTATTTGTAAGTAGTAAAAGTAAAAAAAAAAGAAAGTACTTGACGTGCAAGAGAAAATAAAAATAGTGTGTCTATCAAAAAGATAACAACACTGATCATTTCCACAATACTTGAAGCGTATTGAAAAGTAAATGGTTAATTCTACATAGCATACTTAATGAAAGGATATAAATAAAACTAAAAATTGCATAAAACAGATCATCATTTAAAGATATCATTGACAATTTTATCGCGTAAAAGCGCTACTAACATCACTATTTACACACCTTCACTATTTATTGTAAAATCCGGTGGGTACATTGATTTCTTCAAATCGGGGAAAATAACCAGCTCGGATTAATAGTTTGATGTGGTTCGAATCTGTCCACACTCATTTCTAAGTCGACCACGCATATTAATATACGTGCACAACCGCAAAATCACCTCTACTACATTTTATTAAGAATGATCTGTTCTCTTAATTCGAAAAATATAATGTATGTGTTAACAAAGTTTGTCGGATACAAAATTACAAATTCGAATTTAGTAACCGTTGTTGAATGCTTCAAATACCATTCAAAAACTATATGTCAGTGGTGACAAATTAAACACATTCACCAAAAAGCAAAGCGTCCACAAGGTGATTTGGCAAAATGTGTCAATATTTAATTTTACTGAAATGAAATATTTTGTTTTTATTCACTGATTGTTTTTATTCAATCATAACTGAAGTTTAACTAACTCGAAACTGTAACCAAGAAGCTATTAATAAATATATAAGGATCGTTAAAAAATATAACTTTTTGGACATTATGAGGACACAAGTATTCATCGTCTTTACAGTAAACATTTTTATAATGAATTTTATCCTGACACAAAAAGAAAATACTCAAATTATGGCTAAGAACCATCTCTTTCACACATAACAAAACATGAGAACCACCCTATAATCAGTTCTTTCGTTAAGAAGCTACAATGACACAGGCAGGTGCGTGAAACTATGGAGGGTAGAATAATATATAATATAATATATTTATTCTACCCTCCATACGTGAAACTTATAACAACCCTCTTTTTACCAGAGAATTGGCAGTTACCTCTATTCCTTGCTTTTTACGCCGGGGAATAATAATTTAAATAGAAGTTTTGTGGCGACATCTAGTTCATACCGAAAGAAAAACATTAAGCGTTAATAGATAACACGTACTTCCTTCAGTTATTGTCAGATGGCGCTTATTTCAATTAAACATTGGACATTAAAAATACTCGGCAATCTGACTACTAAAAATAAATTTGTGCTGTAACAAAATTAACACTTCTACATATTTTTAAAATTGATTCAGTTTATTTTGCGGTTATACTATTTATAGCAAATCTTACTACGAAAATTCGCAAAACGTTTAACACAATCATATTCATAAGCATCATGTTTATAGAGAGGCAATAAAAATTGTTCCCCATACAATATACTTGCCATGTATCTATAATTTTTCTATAATAAAATATAAATCTACTTATAGTAATTAAAATTAATAATTGATGTTTTATTTTCACGGTAATTAGAGTAAATAAAGTTAATTTCGATTGACTAGTCGACATACATACAAAAATTTTATAAGATTAAAATATGTTTTTGTTATAATTATGATTTTTAACGTAAATTCATTTATATTTTTTTGATTCAAGACGATAATTATTTGTCTGTCTGTATTAAATTGTACAAAATATCAAAGAACTGTCTAAGAAACACGGCATCATAGCTTTTATTAGTATCTAATTAAACTAAATATTATATTCTATATCGTTACCAGGTATTTTATTGTCTTAGTTTATTTTCACAATTTTCAAAAGCTCAGTGACTGGAAATTCAAATATAATATTTGAACAGATTATTAATTACTTTTTAATGTAACTTTTTCATCATGTTGGTACATAATTATTTAGGATCTTTTATAATTATATCAACGTCATTGAAACAGTATCCAAAGAAAGGAATTATCACCGTCTTATTTTCCCGCTATTTTACAACTATCTATTGAACCTGTCTTTGTATAAAGTCACTGTCATAGTGAAAATGTTACTATAAAAATCCTATTGTATGACTGTTAAAAAGGGTTGTCTATTATGATTGATATCATCAAAAGGTATCAAGTAATTTTATGAGTACGTAAATTAAATTTATTTTATATGGCAATTAATTTAAATAATTCACGCACTTGTTAACTATAGGTCTTAAATTGAATAGGTGTATTCTGTGTTGACATTTCTACTATCATTTTATTTTTTGATTTGACTTAGGGTCCGAATTGTTTTTCAATTGTCTCTGAACAATTGTATATTTAGGTAAAAGAAGAATATTAACTATCATACTCGTACGATATTCTACTAATTTAATAAAGAATAGATAGATTAAGGTAATTAGAGGATCTGATTAGGTTGTACAAAGAGGTAAGGAATGGACCGTAGATTTTTTTAGAAACGATTTTTAAGATTGGCTAAATCATTTCGAGATATGGCGTAGGGATATGCAAATGTATAATAATTTGAATTCGCAAATATCTAGAGATCAAAAGGGACCACTATAAAAAGGAGTGGTTGGTATTTTTTAAATTACTTTAAAAACTTTTTATAAGCACAGCCAAACGTTTGGAGTGGACTTGAGTAGGTTTTGATTGATGGACATTTACTTGGAAACGTGGCTCATTACACACCGATCGAGTTGTTTTGTCTTTTTAGAAAACGAGTGTACGACGATGTAGGAAGCGAAACTTCTAAATTATTGATCGTCACTCATTATTTATACGCAAAATTCGTGCTATTGAGTACGTATTTTGCATATTGTCGTCCACCACGTTTCCAAGCAAGTCCGCGCTCTCTACCTCTTGGGCGACAGGCTCTGGACGTAGTTGGGGTCCATCTCGTCGAGGTCTCTGCCCTTGGTCTCGGGCACGCAGCAGACGACGAAGCACAGGCCGCCCACGCTTATAGAGGCGTACAGCCAGAACGCGCCGTGCAGGCCCAGCGTCTGCTGGAAGTCCACGAAGGTCTTCACGCCTACGAAGGCGCACAGGTAGCTGAAAGCAGTCGCCATCGCGCTACCGAACGCCCTATACTCCAGGGGGAACAGCTCGCCTATCAGCAGCCAGGATATCGGGCTCATGCCTAAAGAGAACGCTATTGTGAACACTAAAACACAGAGCAGCGGGATCCAGTCATTCTGGCCGGCAGTTTGATGGAACATTACGCTCTGTATCCTCTGGTTCCTGTGTACCTCCTCGTAGTACGCGTAGCTGCCGAAGCCGGCGAGCGCCATCGACATGAGGACCGAGCTGACTATCAGAAGGGGCAGCCTGCCCACGGTGTCTATCAACAGTCCAGACAGACAGGACGCAAGCAGCTGCACGAAAGAGACGGCGATAGCGGCGCCGTGCGGGTTCATGCCGCCGAAGGTCTTTCTAAATATCGGCACCGCGTAGAACGAGAACGCGTGCGCACCGGAGAACCTCTGGAAGGTCATCAGCCCGCAGGTCACCAGTATCGGCCCCAATAGCCGGTTCATCGTCCTCACGTCCAGGGAGCTGATCAGCTGGCTACCGGACATCTGGTTCTGGCGCTGGCTGAAGCTCTTCGAGGCGAGCACGTTGGTGCGTATCGTGGCGAGCTCCTGGGCGACGTCAGAGTTGGTGCCTCGAAGCCATAGCAGGCTCTTGTACGCCTCCTCGTCCTTTCCGATGAGGACCAGGTAGCTCGGCGTCTCCGGTATGTAGAGGACGGTACAGAAGAGGAGCAGGGGCGCTGCGGATATGAACAGCGCGAGCTGCTGCCAGTCGAGGTACGCGCCGATGGTGAAGCTGAACAGGACCCCGAGGTGGCCGACGATCTTGAGCACGGCGCTGAGGCAGCCGCGGATGTCCGGGACGGATATCTCGCTGATGTACACCTGGAACGGTTGGACTAGCGTTAGAAAGTTACGGCTTTTTTTTTTGGTATCGGGGGGAAATCTTCGACGGATACCTTGTCATCTTACGTCAGGGTTACGTGGTTTTCTTACCCACTAAAACGCCCTCAGTGGCCACCTTCTGTACATTTCGAGGGAGTCCGGGATCTCCCACGGAACGCACCGGTGTCCCTCGGTACTACGCCTGAGCACGCCTCGGAGAAGCATAAACCTTCTCCGATTCCCTCACCCTCTTGAAGCCGCACGAGATCATTTCGCGTTGCTGCGAATCCGTGTCCTCTTTTAGACGACAGGCAGGGGATATCTATGAGTTCTATGAGTATACAAGGCTGGACACACGTACCTACCAAACGCTGAGGTAATGAAGCTGGGTTTACTACCTTAGGATCATGGTGCCTACCTATAAGGCCGTAGGTGACAATCCTAACCATAGATAACGCACTCATGAGCACACGTATCTACCAATCGCTGAGGTAATGAAGCTGGGTTTACTACCTTAGGATCATGGTGCCTACCTATAAGGCCGTAGGTGACAATCCTAACCATAGATAACGCACTCATGAGCACACGTATCTACCAATCGCTGAGGTAATGAAGCTGGGTTTACTACCTTAGGATCATGGTTCCTATCTATAAGGCCGTAGGTGACAATCCTAACCATAGATAACGCACTCATGAGCACACGTATCTACCAAACGCGGAGGTTATGAAGCTGGGTTGGCTACCTCAGGGTCATTGTTCCTTCCTATAAGGCCGTATGACAATCCTAACCATAGATAACGCACGCATGAGCACATGCGGTCCTGCCCAATGCGGAGATTGGGCTTTCTCAAGAGTTCTGCACTCGATGAAGCTTTAATAGTCTACGGACTTATGAAAGAAACAATGGGCAAAGTGAATTTAGGGAAGGTACCAGACCTATAATTATCTGGGAAGTACCATTATCTCGCAGAAGACCGGCGAGAAGTGGAAGTGTTATACTTTCTTGTATCTTATATCTTGTGTTAACTGATGTTTTTGCTTTCAGTTCTGAGACTATTAAAGCTTCATCTGACGCAGAACCGGTGGGCTAGCTACAACCCACGGGTTTGGGCTTGGGTTTACTTTCGTTGTTATATCGTGTTTCGTCTGGTGAGTGACGTAACGAGGGCCCATTTTTAAAAAGGTTGTCAACGCGTTAATAACCCTTACGAAGTTGACGACGTCCACGGGCGGCGGTAATCGCTTAACATCTGGTGAACCGCCAGTTCGCTTGAAAACTTTTCGCATAAAGAGAAATCCTGTCAGCATATGTTATATCGATAAGTGATAGTACAAATAATTTTCTATAGAAGAGCCGTGATAGCTCAGTGTCCGGGCGCTCGCCTATAATTTCATGTACTCGAGCATCCTAAGCTTGCACCAATGAAATTGTTAATTTTAAGTGCTGAATTATCACGTGCTGGGCGATGAAGGATAATACCGTGAGGAAACCTGCATATTTTCGAAATAATATAAAAAAAAAATTTCGAAAATATGTGAAGTCCGCCAATCCGCAGTGGGGTCGCGTGGTGGACATAGTCTGTAAGGAAGTTCTTTACAGAGGAGGCCTTTGCCCAGCAGTGGGACATTTATAGGCCGTTACTTTATTTTTACAAATTATTTTACTCTACAATAGGCGAATAATTTAGTTACATTTTCCGAGACTAATAACGCTTCATTATCAAGATATTGATTTTAGCATTAAAACGGAAAAGACGTCTGCTTGTGCAATACAAATTACAAAAGTACAATTCGACGAAAGTAATTAAGCGAAAGTTTCATTCGTCGCTTTTCGGAAGTAATAAATAATAATTTTATCACTAATAAGAAAACTTTCGCTTCAGGCGAGTTCTTTAATGTCGTGACGCACTAGGTTGCAAATGTTGTTTATTATGTCAGACCCGGAGGTTATAAGTAATATCCGTCACATGGACGTTTGCAATAACGTAAGGTTTCAGATGTGTTGCCACCTTTTAATGACGTGGGCCCCGGAAACGCAGAAGTATAACATTTCCACTTCACGTCGATCTTCTGTGAGGTCGTGGTACTTCCCCGGGCGGACCAGTCCTTTCTTTAAATAGCGCAGAATGTTGCGTGGCCCTACCACAGTTACAACACAGTCCCACAGTTGTGGGAACAATTGTTAAAGGGAAAACTTAACGTGGCTTAAATTATATGTAGACATATGACATTTTTAGCTTGCATTATACGTTGCTTAGATTGGACGTAGGAAATATATAGTAGAAGTATGAAATGAACAACTGGGGGCCCTGGGTTCTAACATAAGTAATAGATACTATAATATAATATAATATAATATAATATAGTATAATATAATATAATATAATATAATATAATATAATATAATATAATATAATATAATATAATAAAATAATAATATAATATAATATAAAATAATAAAATATAATATAATATAATATAATATAATATAATATAATATAATATAATATAATATAATATAATATAATATAATATAATATAATGCGAAAGTAACTCTGTCTGTCTATCTCGCTTTCACGCCAAAACTACTGAACCCGTTGAAATGAAATTTGGTACACAGATAGTCTAGAGCCTCAGAATGGACATAGGCTATTTTTTAATTGGAAAAAAGTATTGTAATGGGTTGAAAATATCTTTTAAAGATATTTATTTAAGGGCTTCAACGCGAGTGCTTCGGCGAAAAGCTAGTATAATATAATATAAAAGATAGGTACTCGGACTTATACCGTAATTTTTAACTACGGTTAACTACAGTTATATTATATTTTCAACTTTAGTGTTTCCACACACTAAAAGACGTGCTCAGCTGTTCTTAGCCGGCTCTTCCTAAAGTTGTATGAAGTTCGGGACTATAAGGATTACGGATGTAGTGGCCGTGTTTACAGTGAATTTTCGGACCGTCCCGACATTTTCTACCGACTTCAAAAGAAAGGGACAATGAGGAGGCGGTTCTCAATTTGACTGTATCACTCAATTTTTTTAAATGTTTTTTACCTGACGAATGACTGAACAACAGATTTCGATGATTCTTTTATTTTTATTTTAAAGCTGGTGCCTCCCATGTGGTCCCATATTAATTTCATTGGTATAGGATCTTGGGCTCCCGAGATACTTAAAGAACACCTGAAAATCAATTATAAAATGAATACTGAGGCTTTGTTTTTAATTAATAAATATATGGAAGAGCTTAAAACCCCCTTAAAACATCCCTACGTATCTCCGGAGCCCAAGATCCAATACAAATGAAATTAATATGGGACCACATGGGAGGCACCAGCTTTCAGATAATAAAAAAAAAACGAATCATCAAAATCGGTGCAAACATTCGAAAAAGTTCTGAGGTAACAATCATAAAAAAATGCAGTCGAATAGAGAACTCCCTCCGTTTTTAAGACGGTCGATAAGCGTACACTGAACAAAGGAATATCGACTTTGGGACCCACCTGCGAGAGCATTGTCAGTATGGAGCAGCAGAACCCACCGAGGAACGCGGTGACGCACATCATGCGAACAGACGTGGCGACGACCGTCAGCAGCCAAGAGAGGCTGCAGGGCGCTGCAGCTAGCGAGAGCACCCGTCTCCGCCCGTGCCGCATCGCCGCGCCCCCCGCCATCCCCCCGAAAAGGGCGCCTGTCGACCACGGCGGCAAGGAGGTTTTATTTTATGCTTTGGAACTCTTTGCTGTTTTGGACACTGGCAGACTGCGTTCGATGTTTGAATTATCAAATCTATATTGAAATCCATAACCCCGGCTCGTCGTAGATGTCTATCGGTGAATGATGTTATATACAATGATATGACACTAGCGCACCCAAATTGAGCCACTCAAATTTAGTGCCTCAATACGAGTAGACAATGATAAGTTTATGGCTGATTTAAAAGAAGTTGGTAGAGTCGTGACCAAGTACCAAGTGATTTTCGATACGAAGTGGGCAGGCACTCGTGTGTTCTACACTGAATCTAAATATCGCAGCAAAGTCACTACGTTTGTAGTAGAAGGAGCAGTGGATGACTACAAAGTTAAACAGTTTTTGTAACCGATCGGTAACTTTCGTGAAAGGATCACAAAGGTTTTCAGGGGCGCACCGCTTGGAGCATGACTTGGAAACTGGCTCGTCATTCACATTCATATTATTCATTCTGTTTTGGGTTGCTTACGCAGGGTGAGATAAATTTAGGTTACGTGATTTTTTTTTCTTATTGCAATGTTTCTTTATTACATTACTAGTGATCGGCAATGTATACATATAAACCTTCCTCTTGAGTCACTCTATCTAGTAAACAAAACCGCATCAAGATCCGTTGCGTAGGTTTATAGAACTAAGCATACATAGGGACAGACGGACTGCGGGACGACTTTGTTTTATACTATGTAGTGATGACTATGTTAAATTAAAATCTGTAATTACGTTTTGCGGCCGGTAAACTACTAGATTCATAACGATGTAATAATGTAACTAATAATGTTAAATTACAATTAAGGTTCAGGATAAATGTTACCTAATAGGGATCTCGCATGACGCGAATTATAGTATTTCGTGGAAATTTTACACGTGATAATAATATAAAATTAAGTTTTTAATTCCGTGGCGCTATAAAATTTCTAATTGAATTTTATATAAATAAATTAGCTGACCCAGCAAATGTTGTTTTGCCATATAAATTATTTGTAAGGTAGCAAAAATTGTTTCGGGTGGACCACCCTTAACATTTAGGGTAATGAAAACGTTGTCCGTTTCTCTACCCTGGCCGATATGCACACAAAATTTCACAAAAATCGGTCGAACCGTTTCGGAGGAGTTCAATTACAAACACCGTGACACGAGAATTCTATACATTAGATATCAAAAAATCTAGATCAAATATTATGTGAACTCTTCTCTCTATTAAATATAAAATCATACTTCTCTAAGAGTGAATTCCACTTTCTATAAGAATGTATTCAGTCCGTAGAACTCCAGATACAATCTTATTGTACAGTATTTTATTTCAATGAATGGCAAATGGCGGTTCCCCTGATCATAAATTGACCATCCGATACCCGTAGTAACTAATACATCCTTACATATCTAAAACATGACAAAAAGACATATTTCGAAAATATTTAAAAAAGTACGTTTAAATTTGTCTTCAGTAGTAGTGAGGAATAGGTACAGGTACCCATGGTACAGGTTTTCACATCTCGTGTTGTAGTTAAACAAGCTGGTTTCTACTAGGGATTTGTCTAGATAGAATAGACCGGCCAACTGCGAGACGGAATTGCGCACGAAGGGTTTCGTACCATCATCATTTCAGCCTATTTGAGTCATAAACCCATAAACTGCCACAAAGTACGATCTTGAGCCACCTGCATCCATCGACTTCCGCACATAAATACATCACCTATGATAATTTTAAATCTCTAACTATCACGGGTCATAAGTTACAGCCTGGTGACAAACGGACAGACATACAGACAGGGGAGTTTTAGTAATAAGGTGCCGTTTTACCCTTTTGGGTACGGAACCCTAAAAATCTGATCAATAAGCAAAAGGTATGAAAGGAAACGGTGATTGATTCAATCTCTATCGGTCCATAATACCCTAATGTTTGGTTTCCGTGACAGCGGCTCATTAGGTCCGCGGATTTTCTCTTTGTTCCCGACTTCATAATTGATGAGGATCATCCATTAAACACCCTCGGAGGTAATACGCAGCACAATATAGAATTTGACGAGAAATGTATCACGAATTCTCAAGTCAAAATGTGTATCCTGTTTTGTGTTGATTTTTGGGGCTGTTCACATTTTCACTAATGAGATCACTTTCTATGTTTGTCTTTTATTGATTTTTTTAAAATCAAGATGGCGTCCTTTTTAAAGTGTCATACTTAATTTTAATGCTGTCGCAATTATCCAACTCAGTCAGGACTGGCAGGCCGCTTAGACAAATACTCTTTGACAGATGACATAAGTGCGATAGCATTTTTTTTTAAATTGAAAATCAATCAAATGTTTACATGCTGAATAACGTATATTTCATAATCTGAGGTTCTATTTGGAATAAATTCGGTAAAGGATAAAATCGTTTCGATCCCCCATTACAGCGATCCATTGTAGACTCATGTAATGGCTGTTGATTGATTCCATTGTTCGAATTTGGAATTTCTGGAACTGGAATGTTACTATTTTTTTTTATCTGACAGCCTGATCCGTATATATCTAGGTACATACGTATGTTTTCGAAAATGTAATAAAATGTAATATTACAGGTCCAAATAATTTTTTATTTCGTCCACGAAGTGAGAACAGCTTGTCATCAATTCATGCCTCCTCATTAGGATATGTTCATGAGAAATGATTGTGTAAATATTATAAGTTCTTGTTACAGGTTTATTTATTGCAGTGGCTCCCGCATGTGTAACTTTTGTAGTGATTCTGTTTGCTGTTGTTATTTATTTTTAATTCACTTCTATTTTGCTTTTTCAATGTCAAGGTTGAAACAATTTAGACTTTAGAACAAGTCTATAACTGATTCACCAATTTATACGAATTCAGTAAATATTCGACTTTTATAGTATATACATTCGTGTGATCTAGTTTCGTCATTCCAATCATCGTCATGTACTATGTTATCGTCCTCATCATCACGGCTGATAATAAATCATTAGAAGACTTCTTCATTTAAACTATTATTGCAACCGTTACTATTAACGCCCTTAGAAATTCACCATTGGTTTACTGTTAAGTATAGATTTCAAACTTCTACGAAGGTCGTCCTAAATTACGCCTCTTGTTATACTGGTACACAAATAGAAATTAGGACTTGTTAACCCTGGACATTGTCCTACATTTGGCAGAGCTGTCCTAGCTCGGAACAATGGAATTAAGTCAAGAATAAGGGTACTTGGTTGCAGCACTTGTCTCGAGGGCTAGCGAGTGTAGGGTTGTTTTCTTTGTTGGTGCCTCAGCCTGCTGGCAACAGTTACAAGGAGTCCGTGAGTTGAAGTTCTACTTCTATGCGACAATCGTTGACATTGTTAATGGGAATACTTGTAAGAGTTTACACTTCAATTTCATATCAGATTTTTCCATTTGTATGAGAATAGTGTAAACCAAAAAAAATGTTTCTAAGATATGTGAAGTCCACCAATCCGCAGTGGGACCGCGTGGTGGACTATGCCCTGATACCCTCTGTACAGAGGAGGCCTTTGCCCAGCAGTGGAACATGTGTAGGCTGATACTTTACTTTACTTTACTTTTAGTGTAAATACATGGATGCAGCCGCAGATAAGGTACTTGTTAAGTAAGCCGCAGGTAAGTCTTAGTCTGGATGCTGGTTATATTTCAAATGCAGGTTTCTTAGGTCTTATTCAGCTTATAACGTGAAACTAGGAACGGATTTAAAATGGATACTGGGTTGACTGGGAGAGAATGCCATAAGGCATTTAGTTCGCCCTTTGTGATCCTTGTTTAAGGTAATTGCAATAAAAAATAAATAAAATAAAAATACTTGTAAGTAATGATTATATTAATTTATTTATTTATTTTTTTTTATTTATTTATTTAAAGAACGCCAACATAATGTACACTATTTAAGACTTAGGAAAATAAATATACATCAACTGTTCGTTAGTGTCATTACAATTAAAGGCGCTGACAGCATGCAATATAATGGGCGAGAAAAATACAGTTAAAGATATTTTTTTTTGTTACAAAATCCAAAATTAAAACAAGAATTAATAAATTAAAAACACAATAATGATAAAGGAAATAACAGTAAAAAACATTAAAGACAGTGATAAACAATGAATTTAGGTATGATTATGCAATAAATTTAGGTATGATTTATACATGGACTAATAATACTATTTAAGTTTCTACAAGTACATGGGGAGATCAGGAAATCTGCTTGACAATAAACCAGGCGAAAACAGTCAAAATGAGTAACAACAATCCGTGATTATTAAAGTAATATAGTATTTTCGGAAAATAATTTTAGCAATTCTTTCTTTAGCTTGGCGGCACTATCTGAAAACAAGTCCGATGTAGAAGTTCTCGAGATGTTATTGTAATTCCTAACCATTCTGTTTAAAGGCGCTTGCTGTCCAAGGTTGGATTTACATGAACAGTTCGAGAAAATATTAAATCTAGAGCGTCGGGGCAGCTTTGAGGGAACGGTAAAGTTTAAAAGGGACAGCAGATAAGGAGCATCAATAGTGCCATTGGCAAGCTTTTGCAGGAAGAGAATTTCGAGCATTGCCCTTCTATCGCACAGAGAACTCATTCCGAAATGTTTCAGTCGATCAGAGTATGACGTAATGGTTTTCCCCAAATTACAAGAGTAAGCCAGGTGCCACAGAAACCTTTTTTGAACGCTTTCCAGTCTTTTCGCGTAAACGTTATATTTAGGATTCCAAACGACGCAACCATACTCTAAGCCACTGCGTACGAGAGCGTTGTACAATAAGATCTTGATCTTGGAGCTTTTGAAATCTTTAGTGTTTCGTAGAACGAAACCAAGGCTTCTAAAACCTTTAGAACAAATGTTGTCTATGTGGAGATTAAATCGCATTTTGCTATCGAGCAACACTCCCAAGTCTCTAACATGATCGACCCTTGACAACTCCTGGTTTTTGACGATGTATTTGCAATCCAAATTAGACATTTTTCTGGAAAAGCGCATCACAAGGCACTTAGAGATGTTTAAATCCATCTGATTTTTATCACACCAAGCCTCTAGACGGACAAGGTCTTCTTGTAATAAAGCTGAATCTGAGAAGGTATCAACGATTCTAAAAAACTTCAAATCATCAGCGAATAAATAATAGCTTGTATTAAGGAAGCAGTCACTAATGTCATTTATGAAGACATTGAATAAAAGTGGGCCAAGATGAGATCCCTGTGGGACACCAGAACACACAGTGAAGGGATCAGATCTGTAGCCATTGACTACAACCAGGGATTTACGATGCGACAGATATGAATTGCACCATCCCAATAAGGGTTCGCCGATACCAAACGCAGAGATTTTTCGTGCTAGAATTTGATGACTCACTCGAATAACAAATGTATTTATATAGTTTCTGAACCATTTAAGTTATCGGATTGGAATTTACGCGAAAATTTGAGCATTTAATATCTGTGTTACTCTTGCACATTACATTGAAATCAGTTTTATTTTGTTTGAATTGTGTGATGCCTTCTGTGTTATGTATATTATGTTATGTGTATATCTTTAAAAGCCACTTTGCCATCCATTCATATTCACAAAAAATATGTTCATTAAAATGACGAATCCAAAAAGTTTTTCTGATAGTTATTCAATAGTTTATATGTAAAATTTTATCTATACGTTACAAGATTTACGAAAATATTTCCATTTATTGTTTAGAAAATTTGTTGTTAACGCAAAATTGTAAATAGATAGAAAAAGAAAAAAAAATTGAGCAGGTATGGAAAACAAGAACAAAAAACGTGCGTCGGCCGGGAATCGAACCCGGATCAACTGCTTGGAAGGCAACTATGCTGACCATTACACCACCGACGCCGTTGTAAGCTTAATCAAATTTATTTACTGTTGAAATATCGAGATTTAGCTAATGGAGATAAAATTAATGTTATTAGACAAGTTTCTGGTAAACTAGTTTCCTCTCAAACAAGATGATTGCATTAAGCGATAAGCTTATCACCGTTATAATGTACTTCGATCGAGTTATTTATATAATGACCTTAACTTTAACTTTGAAATAGTGTTGTCTACAATTTGTTGTAATATTCTAGACTAATACTGTTTCTGCTTCGTCGTAAGGCGTATTACGTAAGATGTGAAGGAATCACAAATTGTATCTAATATAGAATATCAACTGAATAAATGCTCTCGTGGCACGTAATAGAGATTCTATTCCAATGACTTCTTTTAAATTTTATCCTGACTAATATCGTAACCGGATCTTCTATGGCATTCTCTTTTAATCTGTGGTTTCGTATATGATCTATTAATTTAAGCGTAAAATGATCTAGTATGAAGTGAACGTTTATGTCTTATAATAGTAAAATAAAGCTACGCAGTAATTCATTGAAGACTAATATCGGGGACACAGAGTCAGTTAATCGCCATTAACACAGTACTAATGTGAATTAAATTGAAAGGTAACATATTATATGTGAATACTAGGTGATGCAAAGCCGCGTGCTTTGCATCACCTAGAAAAATCTTACGTATATCAATCTTAAACCTATAAACGAGCAATTCTTGTATATATAATCGGAATCTCGGAAACGGCTCCAGCGATTTTCATGAAATTTAGTATGTGCGTAGATTCGGGGGCGAAGAATCGATCTGGCTAGGTTTCATTTTTAGAAATTGTCGTTTTATCCCAGTTTTCGGGGAATGAGAAATATCACTCGAATACGACGGTAAATCTTGTAATCAAATACGCAGACAGTGTCGACATGAGCACTCCGATGAACCTAGTTATGTAAATCCCGGATATGTGGCGTCGGTGACAGTGAACTTTATCTTTTGAACCATATGGTCTAAGATCAGAATCTAAATCGACCTTCGCCGAGCTGATAATAGAATAAAATTTGTGACAAGAGAGCTGGTTCTTTTCTCGCGCAAAGGTTGAGCATAACTATTCAGCGAGGAAATGCAGCTAGCGTTCTTGGCACCATGCCGCGTGGATTATGTTTATTAGATAATATGTAATTTTAGATAGATTTAATCTTGTAAATATTAGATCAATAAAGATTGTCTTTACCTTCAAATTTGTTTTGTAATAAACTTAGTATATTAGAAAATATATTAAAACTGGGTCGGCTAAAAAAATCCTGGACAGAATATTTTTAATAATTAAGTATTTAAAAAATGATTTTTCATGAAATGTTGCAACATCAGGATAATAAGAAAATATTATCCGGTGAAGGTCGATTTAGATTCGGATCTTAGACCATACGGTTTAAAAGATAAAAATCACTGCCACCGACGCCACATATCCGGGATTTACATAACTATGTTCTTTGGAGTGATCATGTCGCCCCTTTATACAGCGTGTCTTTACAATCGCGACAATAAATGAACACACATATAGGGGATAACTTTTTAAAATTGTATTAAACATTTACATTCTTTAAACATCAATATTTACAGAGTTATTAAATTTTCCAAAACAAAGAATTTTAGAACACCCTTACCTATAAAACTGTAACGTAAAGTTAATTTGGAAAGGTTACAAAGCATATGAATGGGTTGAATGAATTTAAAAGAGACAAAACATACTGTTAGAAGGAGAGACTTGTAATATGACGCTGTGGCGCGAGTTGTATAGGATGTTACAAAGTCTGTTCCTTTTTTACTTAATTAGTTTGTTTGAAAAATATTTTTTTTTAATAATGGATTTTGTTTAACGTTAATATTTTTTTATGATTATTGGCAAGTAGCGTTAGACGTGTGTTCATTTATTGTCGCGATGGTAAGGACACGCTGTATATTACATGCTAAGTTTCATATCAATTGGGCTAACGGTTCTCGAGTTTTAGGTGAAAATACATTCACAAATACATTCTCTTTTACATAATATTCATAGATTTCGACAAAGTCACATAACAAGAATCTCGGTTTAATGTTAGCGTACGTATAAATTTAATTTCAGGTATATGCTGCAGTCTGAGCGATAAAATTATATATAACATATAATATTTATGTATAGATAATGACGTTGTTAAAAAATTGACCGGGCGTTGCGGCACGGAAGCATTTTACTCATTAAATCGCGTTTAATGTAATTTTGAATTCCGAACGTTCCAAATATTTCGTAAATGCCCCGAATGCTTATGAATATTCGGTTAACGTTCGCTGCAAACACCAAATGATACACCTCATTATTGTTAGGACCTACACTTTTTCATGGGTGATAAGATGTGTCCATTAATATTAACGAGTAGTAAGTAAAAGTCAAAGGCGAATTTACTCACTTTTTATCCAATTTCATAAACACGAAGTAAATAAGGCCAAGCAACCTGACCCAGAACTATTAGAAGTCATACAAATAGTGGAAATTGAATGGGAATTGAGTGAAAGAAGATCTGCAGAGCCATGCGATATGGGAGGTTGTAGTTGTTGGTATGTAAATTTGTATTTGTTTGTATGGTAAGTTTGCTTACATTTTAAGGCCCATTTACACGATGCCATTTGCTTGAACATACAAGAGCAATAATTGAATGCAATAAATTGCGCGCAATAATTGTTTAGACCATTTGTTGTTTAGACCATGCAACTCATTTATTGCTTCAATTTAATTGTATACAACACGCAATAAACTGGCATCATGTAAATGGACCTTTAGTCTAGGTGCTCGCTTTCAATTTTGTAAATTCGAATAACCCGAGTGCAAATCGGGTTTTAATTAAATTGTTAGTTGCAACTTTAAGCGCTGATTTATCACGTGTTCATCGTTGAAGAAAATTGCGCGAAAGACTGCATCTTTTCGAAATGCCAATAGAGAATAAAAGTATTTTGATGATATGTGAAGTCTGCCAATCCGTAAGGGGTCGCGTGGTGAACTGTGTTAGATACACGCAATTGTAGCTGGTATGATCTGTTTCCGAACGCAGCACATTAGCAAACGCCCTACGCTATAAAGCGTGATTTGTCTATGCCTATGTTTATATATTTTCAATTCCGCCCGCCATCTCGTTCTCGTTATTTTCTTAAACATTGCCCTTACATTAGGTTAATACTATCCTGTGTCGTAAGGACTTTTTTAACACCCAGATGCGAAACAACTATCTGTGGATCACGCAAATAGTTGTCCCTTGTGGGAATCGAACCCACGACCCCGGACGCCGAAGCCAATACCTTGGCCACTGCGCCACGGGGCCATCACTTGTATGATAAAATTATAAATGTGTCTCAGTAAATCTCCAATCGTAATACCTTAATTCAAATCAGAATAAACATAATACCATGCATTGTTGCACTAATTCGCCCAGCAGTGGGACATGTACAGGTTACCAGCTTACTTACCCAGGAATGATAGGGAGGCCAGCCAAGACGCCTGCTGGTCGGTGAGCTGGAAGTCACGGCGGGTGGAGTTCGCAGCCGGACCCTGGAGCGACGCGATGGCGGGGGAGCTGTAGCCCTTGCCGAGACCAGCCGAGAATGGTGCCAGCGACACCGCGAGGGCTGCCAGCACCTGGCAAGGGAAAATCGGACTTGTGTCGTGAACACTAAAGTACGTTTTAGAGTGATTCATCTCGAACGCTAATAGTTGGGACATAATTACAATTCCATGACGTCCGTGTGTGCGCTAAGATTCCTCTCTCGGGAACTCACGTTACATTAATTTCAATGTCAAACACATAATAGTCTGTGTTCAGATTAGTTATTAAAAAAAACACGGTAAAATTTCGTTCACTAGTTCCCATTTTATATATCTTATGACATTATATGTACTCCTTAACTTTGCTATTCCGTTGCCTGTCATTCATATCAATACTTGTGATACATAAAAGCACCAATTCTTAGCACGAGACGGCATTTACTATCTGTGTAAAACATTTGAGCTCTTTATAATCGTATGTTTTGTCTTTAAGAGAAACTTCTTCCGATATATCCGTTATGAGGATTGTTATCCCATTATGTTTAATGAAGTAATTAAACATCTTTCGTCGATTCAACCTATTGGAAATGGTGTATGCGGGCTAATCTTAATCGTTCAGCGAGAATAAAGGCAATCTGTTTGCAGATTTTATGCTGGTTAGGTTACTTAAAATCCCTAATAATGTACACGTGAACAAGAAATAAGAACTTTTAATCACGTTAATTAATTGAGATACATTAAACAATCACTTATATTCAATAACACATAACTAAAATGTAAATTGGACGGCCTGATGTTTAGCTTACGACACTGTCGCTGCGCCAGGCGTTGGTTCCCACTATTGGAAAAATATTGTGCGATGATCATAATGTTTTACCAGTGGCCGGACTTTTATGTTATTTCGTTCATGTTAATGTTATTTCCGGACGTTGGTACGTCTCAGTCTGTACCGTGACCACAATAGCTCGGATTTTTACGTTGGCAATTACACGGTGACAGGACTGGATAGTGACGTTAATTTAAGTTTTGTTTAAAAAGGGACAGCTATACAATAGAAAGAGTTAGTTGAAGTAAATCATTCATTTCATTCATTATCATTGGTTATACAGTGATTAGCTAATTTTTCTTGAACAATCCTTCCAGAAACCCAAGGCAGTTTAACAAGAGATTAACAGCTGATCATTTTTGACATAGTGTTATGTGATTGCTGCTTTGATTGGCCTTTCGGAAACTGGGCATTAGTCTGCTAAATTAAATCAATATCCAATAAATTTTCGGCGCGCTTTTAGGGATGTCGTCCGAACGCGTCGAGCGTTACGCGTTCTATCGATATCTTTCATGTCAATTTGCAATATCGATAGTATTGTACACGCAAATTGACTTGACGACTCCGTGGCGCGGTTGCCAAGGTATTGGCTTCGGCGTCGAGGGTCGTTGGTTCGATTCCCACACGGGACAACTTAATATGTTTAAATTTTACTTATAAAGTTAAATTAATGTATTCTCTGAGTGGGAGACGCAGGCAGCCGTGACACAGTTTATACTAGTATGGCTGCCGACGTTTACCTTTCAATGTAATTGATGCTACTTTTAAATAGTGTTAGTTATTATGTAAAATTAGTTGAGTGAATAAACAAATATAATTATTATTTGTGTGACCCACAGATAGTTGTTCCGAGTCTGGGTGTTTGTCCGCGTGAAATTTATGTTTGTAAGACGTCCTTACAACACAGGATAATGTTATCCTAAAGTAAGGGCAATGTTTCTTTAAAAAAACGCATTATCGACGTTGACGGCACTAGCGGGCTGGAATGTTTGAACAGCCCGCGGCGACCGATCGTACGTGACTCGATAAACGTGTAAACTTTGACGTAATTCCATTAAACACAATAATAAGCTATCCACCGATCGTGGCTTATGAAGTGTGCTTAACAACGTAAACGGATTGTCAACGGAGAGGTGTTTATGAAGATTAAAAAAATAGAGGAAAATCTGCGAAAATGCCCGTTACAGTTTTTTGAAATATATAAATGTTTAAAAAATAATAGTGACTGTTATTACAATTAGTCACACAAACAGTACACAAACTGTTGCTTTCGAATTAGTCCGTATGAAATCCAACAAAGGTACGGTGTCCGAGAAATGGTACCGGTTCAAATCCATAACCCCAGTGCGAGCTGATGCGAGCAGACACTAAGTCTACGCTGTCTTAGTATTTATTCATAACATTTATGAATAAATACTAAGACGTATAAATGTTATGAATAAATACTAAGACAGCTCTCATTTTATGCGAAAATTTGTCAAGCGACCAGGCGATTCACCTTATGTTAAGTGATTGCCGCCGCCCATGCATATCTACATCTGAAGGCAGATGCCTTGACAACCTTTAAAAAAGTGGGCCCAGGTCACCTTACTTAGCAGACGAAACGCAGAAGTACAACATTACCACTTCACGCTGGTCTCCTGTGAGACCGTGGTGCTACCCCAGGCGATCCTACCCATTCCAGCAACAGCCGCCCATTCGTGCAACAGCTTTTGTTGCGCGTATGGGCAGGGTGAAATTTTATCTTTGCATGCAGCCGTTGCTCAGTGCCATAAAGGCAACGGTTTATCACGGCACCAGAATTGCTGAGATTTTAAGAAGATAAGAGAAAAACAACGATTTATCTTCATGTACAAATATAACTTCTTGAAGAAAAGTCAATACCGGAGTGTTAAAATTTTAAATGTTTCGATATTTATGCAAAGAAAATGTTTCGTAGCTCCCCTGTCTCTGAATCAACTCTACGTTTAAAGAGTAAACTTTATCAGCAAATACATATATTGTTGAGAAAGGGAAGAAGAAGAAAGAAATGTCTATTTAGCACATTACATTACAAGATAAGAAACAAGAACAACAACCCAATAGCGATATATAGCATAATTATACAATGTTGGGCGATCTAGATAGCATCGAAACTGTGCTTAGCGACATTATACGAGGAATTATCAATTGTTTAAGTTTCGAATAACTCGGGTCGTCGACGGATAAAGCCAGATCCACACTGCCAATGTCAGATTAAGAAAATTGGGTCGACCCCAATCAAAATGTTTGGACTCCACGGATGTCTGCGGCCTCTACCCGAGAGTTTGTTGGGTGTTTCCGACCGCAGTTGAAATGGAATTATACGATTCTACATCGACGCAATTCGTCTGTGAACTTTTTAGTCCGCGCAGTAGTAAAAGTTATGTGATTACCGAAATTTCGACTGTACGAATGATGAATCGACGACTCCGTGGCGCAGTTGCCATATTGGCTTCGGCGTCGGGGGTCCTGGGTTCGATACCAACAGGGGACGACTGTTTGTGTGACCCACGGATAGTTGTTTCGCATCTGTATGTTGCACGTGAAATTTATGTTTGTGAAACGTCCTTACAACACAGGATAATGTTGTCCTAAAGCAAGGGCAATGCTTTAAAAAAAAAAGGAAAAAAAACTGTATATACGAAAGGTTAAAGGGTTTCGCAATACTTGCACATGCATCTATATCATCGTTCTGCTGTTGGAAAAAAGTATTATTTTTATGTGAGAAGGTTGCAAACGAGCTGGCGGTGCATCCGATGTCACGTGATATCCACTGCCCATGGACATTTGCAACGCCCGTAGGGTTTCTGATGATTTGCCACCTTTTTAGGAAGTGGGCCCCTCTATCGGCTACCTCTATCTCTCTCCGAAAACAAATGTGTTTTGTGTGCAAGATCGAGCTATGACATATCTTCAGCTATGCGGCTCCATGCAACTAAAAAATGCTCATATTTTGTATACATGGTCGTTCATAGAGCAAAGTGTGCGCATGTATAATAAAATCCCACAGTCGATATTAAGTCAGCCGCTTGACCAATTTAAACGTAAAATTAAAAGTCAACTTATGGTTAAAGCATATTATACCCTTGCGGAATATCTCAACTACGCCAATGTGTGGAGTTAATACTGTTGATACTCACGTGACTAGAATAAGACTATTATACCTGTATGTTATTTTTTGATTTTCATTTTTGATCGTACTAAATATTATATCTATCAATGATACAAATATAACGTAATATTTAAATTAAGGAATTGATATATTGTTTTTACTAGTAATTTTTCTAGTTCAGAGTGTGACTGTGAAGCTCAGAGATCTTGTTGAAGTCATAATTATCATTTTAAAGTATTTCATTATTACATCTTAATATATGTTTTTATAACTATTATAAGATTATTACATTGCTGTATATGGGTCAGTACGGCATCGAATCGAAAAATCATGAAGTATGAAGGCTGAAAATCAGCGCTGTGTCGGGGTGTTGACTTCCGGCACAGCATAACGCTGAGTGTTGACCTAATTTACCGATAATAGGGCGTACAATTCTTTTCCTTTAAATTGATTTATTTTTCTTTAAAATATGTAGAAAACATTAAAATATGTAGAAAATTGTATGTGTATTTGTGTATAAATGTGTATTTTTCTTTTGTTTCATATCGCCATAGTTTTTTGTATGTACAGATTTTGTTTTGTTTTCTTTGCTCTTGTGTGTATTATTTTAATGTTTTTTTTTCAAAATTGCTTTTATCTTTTATTCAATTTTTGTTGTGTGCGTCCTTTTTTGGTAAATAAATTTATTTTCTTTCTTTCAATGACCCAAGACGCACTCAAATTCCAATTTCTCCAACCCTTTTTATTTAGCCGTCCCAAAATAAATTTGATGTCTGTTTACGCAACTCTTTGCAATAAATACGGTGGAAATACAATGATTTGTGTAAGACAGTTATAAAAGTTCTTGCAAGTTTATTCTGCCTAACTCGGCATACGGGTGTTGAGTTCAGTTTTCGTGCTGGGCAACAAGGACAAGAACTGGCCTTATCTTTGTTTTATTTATGTTTGTAAAAATAATTAGTTACTAATTATCTTATTCTTGCTCTTAGGGGTCGTTAAAAAGACGTTAAAAAGAAGAAATATAGAAATAATTCTTGAATATTAACAACGCTGTTAAGATATACAGTGATAGGGCCACGCAACAGTCTTCGCTGTTGCATGAACGAGCAGATCCATCCGAGGATACTTTCCTGT